AATTTTAAAGCATGTATGTTTATAATCAAGTATAATTAGTTTTTTCTTAGTTAAAGTACACACAATGCACAGGATAAGTTGCAGCATGAGGAGTGGACTTTGGAGCAGCAACTAAGCTTTTAATCAATATTGAGCAACAAGTATTGCTAAAGCTTCTTTAATCAATTAATGAAATCAAATGCAACATAGTTAAAATTGAAATAACAATCGTTCTATTTTATTCATATATGTGAATATTGTATACACGTATTACAATTTTATATAATTCACACATTCTACTATTGAATTTAATGTAAATTGTCGTTTATTTTAATAAATTTATTTATTTTAATAAAACTGACTGCAACTTTTGTTACTTACCTTTAACTGTAACCTTTTCCGATCCTCTTTCCGTGACATTTTCCAAAATTAGGATAAGACAAGTTCGAAAAATTCAGCAAATTTTTGTTTATTTACATTTCAGATGTAAATAAACAAACCAGGATGTAAATAAACAAAGGAAAATCTAAATAAACATTGAAAATCAAAACAAACAAACGAAATTTTCTAAACAAGCTGAAATTTCAGTCGGTCGGAAATTTTTCGAAACTTTTTTCGAAAATTCGTTTGCATTCAGAATGCAAATAAACGCACCGGGATGTAAATAAAGAGAATGTAAATTAACAGACCGATATGCAGATATACGTTGAAAATCAAACAAACGGAATTTTGTAAACGAAAATTTCAGTCGGTAGAAAATTTCTCAAAAATTTTTGTGAAAATTCATTTGTTTACATTTTGAATGTAAATAAATACACTGGGGATGTAAATAAACAAAAGAGAATGTAAATAAACATTGGAAACCAAAACAAACGAACGAAATTTCGTAAATGTTGGAATTTTTATTGTGAGGAGGACTACTTTTCAAATTTCTCGCTTCGGAACTCTGCTAATGCAAAATTTCTTAGCGATGCTTCTCGTTAAAGGATTGGGATTTGTCATTCTAGGCGTTTTGGACAGAAAAAATGATAAAACAGTCAATTTCCTTCATTAATACGTTTATTGAGATTTTTTAATAATGTACAAATGAGTTACAATGATCTTAAAATATAATAATATCGTCGTGATTATTTTTATAGATCGTATTACAATATATGTTAAATCCTCGTATAAAGTATTCTAAAATATTCGGACTAGAAGGAAGAGAAAGTTAGGAGTCCACTAACACTTTCGAGTTTGATGATACTGATAAGTCTGATATGTCATGTCACGGCGTTTTTTAATTAAATACCACTCTCGAGAGATTGCAAAAAGGTATACAAAAGTTACAAAAAGCGATGAGATACAACTGCAAAAATTGATTCACAAACGAATCCTCTTTAATTAATTTTCTCCAGAAATTTTATTGAAATTCAGTTCAAAAGATTCTTAATTATCTAAAGAATAGAAAGGACAAAAGTATTTCCTTTGTAAGAGAGAAGAAATTTTCCGTGACATTAATCACTGTAGATTTCAAACAGAAATGGAATTTACTTGGCAGCGTAATTACTTTTTCGGTTGATGAACAAGCAAGCAAGTTAATGCTAATATGTGATGAGTAGTATACGATTCGAGAACTATTCGAGATAAACCTTAAAATCAGCTAACGCAATCTATAGTGAGATATCGTAGGAAAATATTACGTGATTATGTACACAAGTAACTTCATTAAAATTGTATACAAATAATAAACGTTCTCATAAATTCTTCTCTCATAATATGCGAGATATCTTTATCTTGAAATTGTACACTATACTGACATTATGTGAGACATCTCTGAAAAAAACTCTGAATCACGCGATATTTCCATAAAATTTCAATAAAGCCAAGTGTTGTTACGTATCAATTTCTAATTTGCACGTTTTTCTACGAACGTTTCATTTCAATTCAACGTCACTGCAACATGTGGAGGAGATTTGAATAATTTAAGAATAAAACATCGCTGCCTATTGTAGAAGTTATCGTTTGCGGAAAACTCTTTGTGATATTTTAAAAATAAATATATAAGCGAAACTTATACAGACATATAGATGTACACAAATTATAAATTTAATTATTAGGTTTATGCAATATGTGTAAAAATGCATTGAATTGATTCTTATTTAATTTAATTATTAAATATTACAACAAGTACTCAACTTTGGGTATTTTATATATTTTTTCATATTATGGAAATTCTGTAGGCGTTACATAATAGAAGTTACATAAATATCCTTAGTCAACAGACCGCATCTACTGAAAACTAGTATTCTTTACTAGAACTAGAAATCTATGTCAGAAAAATTATAATGCAAGGAATAGAGAAGAAATTTTATAAAAATTTATAATATAATGAAGAAGACGAAATCATTCAAATTGATTGTATTAATCTATAAAATGTTGTATCAAATCTATAAAATTTCTCTGAAAAGTTATGAATTGGTAATTCTGGCACATTGGTAGTTCTAGTATTAGATGGAAATATTTGTAATACAAATTATAAATTATTACTTATAAACGACCTAAATTATAAATTATTACTTATAAACGACCTATCATATCGCTTGTAATTCAACAACACTGTTTATATTTCGCGGACATAGATTGCTGATTAAAATCAACTTTATCGTAATTGTGAATGTCAAAGTTCGTAGGAAAATCCATTTAAACTAATAACGTATAATTCCAATGACGCCATAAACTCTACACCAAACAGAGAGAGGTCTCTTACTGCGTATTCTAGCTGCTTCGAATGAAATTCAAGTGTAATCATTGTAATTTCCTTATCGTTAATTATATCATCGATCGAAGAAATTTTATTGCGCATGTGAATCAGAAACACTTCGCTTCGTCATCCTGAGGAATAAACAATGGAAGCATTCGTTGTAGAAACAATTCTCTCACGTTCTGTTGTCCAAGGTTGGTAAATAAACTGCACATATAGTTATAACGAATTTATTAAAATGTCTTATTTCCCAAGATAAGTCGAGGTACTTTTCAACTTTATAAACTCATGTTTTTTTTCTTTTTTGTATTTTAAGTGAAATTATACGAGTTAGTACAAAATAATGACTAAATATTTTTGAAAAAAGAAAATATATTCATAAAAATATATTTTATGAAAGAGACGATATAAAGAATAAAACTTCAGTTTTTCTCCAATTTCCAAAGTGATAAGACACTTTAATCGAGAAGGCTACGTTATAGATTTCTCGTGAAAGTGTAATTACGCATACATATTCGCAATAGTTATTGACATAAGAGTATTTAGGGGTTGAAGTTAATCTTGATAAATGGACAGAACGTGGACGTGACCTTGATAATAAAAATTACTCCATTCAAAATTCCACTTGATTAGTACACGTCAGCAACATGCCATTATATGGAACTCTAAAAAATAAAAGAAAAATTTTAACGAGATAAATACATATACACGTTATTTTACAACATGATTCATTGGAAATTTATAAATCGTGGCTTTTGAAATTACGTTTCTTTAGCTACACTAATAAGTAAACTTTCGCAATCTAATTGCAATGAAAACTAAATTATACTATGTCCCTTACCATCAATTTTCGCAATCTAATTGCAATGAAAACTAAATTATACCATGTTCCTTATCTTTTAAAATCTTTAATTGCAAACCTACATTTTATTTTATTAAGGTTCTTAAAATTACCCATGATTATGAATAGAACTGGGAATTAAATAACTGAACTAAACAGCATAAGAACAAGACTTCGCGCTTCTGGTATTTCCACGATTCTCATAGACATTGTATTTAAATAGGCAATTCCATCATTAAAGAATTTTTAAACACTATTACATCGAGAAGTTTATATCGTAAGTTTTAACCTCTGACATATTTATATGTAATTACACTTGTTTGTATGATTGAACGAGAGGCTTGGTTTGGTATTTTTCAAGATAATTTTCTTATCAAGGAAGAACTTGCAACGATGCAAATGAAAAATGTGAAATAGATATATCTTTCGTTCGTGAGAAATCAGTTACACTTAATTTGATTCATATTATTTTCTTCTAATTATTATAATTATTATAAGTTTTTTTAACTTGGTCTTCAGGGCATCAAATATTTAAATTAAAAAGAAAACGGAAAATTTTTACACATGATGGTGTATGACGTCAGGACGAAACCGCAACAATGTTTATTGATATGAATCAGCAGCCAAATGTATTGTCAATCTTGCAACATTCTGCATTTTTGACATCATCTATCATTCTGTCCTGAATTTCAGGATATTTTCTTGTATATTTTATAAATATTTTATAAATGATTTTTCCAATTCAAACGTTACGTAAATAAATAAATTGGAAAATTTGTGCGAAACACATTTGTTCGAATTATATTAAATCTTCTTAAACTCATTGTCAGCTAAACAATTTTACAGTTGAACAAATATTTGTTAATACTCTCAACACTTATCGATATAAAGATATTCTAAAAGCATAGAGAATAGTAGCAAACAATACAAAGTATGAACATACTTTAGAAACAAACTAGATAACATTAATCCTATTAAAAAATAGAGTACTATAGAAAATGATGATTTATACGAAATTGCGTTACGTTTGTACTATAGAAAATGATGAATTATACGAAATTGCCTTACGTTTGAATAAAAGATTTTAAAAGATAAGGAAACCGTCGGATACCTGCGTCAAGATCCTTATTTATAAATAATCGTCGATTTCATTTGTTCAGGATGTCGATTTCTTTTGAGGTCAGGATGCTCTCGATAAATAAAATTCATTTATGAACTTTGTACATGCATGTCAAGAAAAATTTCACGAGAATCCAGTTCATCGTCGAAAGGAGAAATTAGCACTGGTAAAGAAAGTGCTGACCATGATATCAAGTAAAAGTTCCCCGGCATAAATTTTGCATCTTCAAAGATGTATATACACACACATCCGGGGAACTTGTACGGGGAGTCGTGGCGATTTTCCATCGACGTAATATTCAGCCGGTTCTGTGGTGGGGAGATCCCCTTTATCTGGCATCTGATTTATATACAAGAGGGACCATCGTCTTGGATTAGTGTCGAGCAGTGAAACCGAACAGTTAGTTCTCAGAGAACAAAGAAACGTCCTACAAATAAGCCGTGTAATATATTAAACTGTGTTTAAAAACAGCATCATGGTGAGATACACTTTACAAAAATTATTGAATTATTTTTAAATTCGTCATTGTTTCCTTTTCTTTTTGTTAAATAAATACTTGCTTCTCCCTAGATACAAATACAAGTAACAAACCGTTTATATCGTATATGAATTGGTGTTTAACTAATTTTTCAATTTATACTGTTACAGATAAAATACGTGACAATTTTATTCGCCACCTTTATTTTGGTTCAATCACAGAGGCCGCCTTATGCAGGAAGTAGCAAACCATATCCTGCTGTCCTTCCACAGTATTTAGAAGGAGTAACAGCTGGTGCAGCTAGCATTAGTACTATCGGGAATCGAATTGATTCAAACAACGGCAACGGACCATTAATGGAAGCTGCAGCTCCTAGTACTCCGATGGCAATACCAACGATTCCTCCAGATTTGCCCGTGGACGCTTTGGGAGACGTTAACTTAGTAAATAAAATCAAAACTTGGCCAAAGGATAAACAACCATTCTGGTTTCTCAACTGGCAAAAAATTCAAGAGCACCGAGGTGACTCGAAAAACCGAGCGCAGCCAGTAGAGACGCAACCGAATCAGAGATCGTTTTTCGCGGGCTAAACATTTGCTTTATATTCCATTCGAGACGACATATGCATACACTGCCGTCGTTGTTTTGCTAGTCAAGTTACACTTTTCTAAGAATTTTTTTACAAGACTTAATCGACCGATGATACGTCATTACTTTATCGACGCAGGATTTTATGTCGGATGAATTTGCGATGTTGCATGGTACAAAAATGTATGAACCACGGATCAGCCTTAATGTCCGTGTGCCTCGTGCGTAAATGAGAAAGAAGGACAGCGTTTTGTAATACTGTTTTTACACGGCGTGAATTTTTCAGAGCGAATAAAATTGAGCGTAAAATCGAGCGTAGTTGAAAAACTTTAAATTTCCAATCCACCTGCTGCAAATCAAAATCGCCAATGAGATATAGTAACAAGCCGCGACGAGACAGAAATCCAGAAATCCGATTGGCTGCTGCAACTTGCACACGATTGCGAGTGGTTGACTAGAGGCCGGTGACGTCACGCTGGCTCGACCAATGCAAGCGCACGGATCTAGTAATAGCTCTATGTGCATGCTGTAGGCTGAAGCGTGTTTATTCGTATCCGGGCGTACAAACGAGAAGTCGCGATAGAGCATATCGAGGGATGTTACCCGACAGATGTTATATGCCAGTCAGAATTTCCAAAGTTCGATAGATACCGCATTCATTTTCGTATACGTATAGAGAACGCGTATGTCCTGCGTGCAAATGTATCCGAAGTACTGTCGTTTTAAGAAAAAGGCAGATTGTACACGACTCGCCGTACCTGACAGTCCACGCGGCCCGGCCCCAAAACACTTTCGCCTCACTATATACACAAGAAATCGCATCGTGTTTCATTCACAACGCGAGCGCCACTGGCAATGTCGGGAAGTGACAGCCCAACATTCTTTCACGGCCAGCCCTGGTCCAGCTGGATCGAAAGAATCGGACGAGACAAGCCGTTGAGTAAGTGCGCTGAATCCTCATCGAAAATGTTCGCTCGTTCGCTGCCGCTGGTTCAAAACCGCGACAACGGCGAGCGTCCAGCTCATGTACCTAACCTCAACTTCGATGCTCCTTTGTCCGTCGACTTGACGCAGGGCATCATTAGGGCCCGTATCGACACGCATTTATTTAAACCGGTTGTCAACAATTGTCCAGCGCTTATCACGGCTGACATTTTCGTAGAGTGAAGCGCGTATTTTATCGGCTCTTTCTACCAACAAATTATGTAATTCATAGCGAAACCTGTCTGCGAAAAATAACGGAGCGTCGAAACGTTAGATTAGAGCATATAATATAATACAATTGGCATGGATCACTGACTTTCGCGGGACGATCACGACCGAACCCGCGCTTCTTGTTGGAACAAACATATTGTATATTTGTATTTTTATTATATTTGTGCTATTCTGTTCTCTCTTGTAAGGTTTTTTTTACTGGAATAATTATGCATGTAAGAAAATAATAAATATAATAAAAGCTGTTTACCCACAAGTTTGTGTTTTTTATTTCACATTTCTGCTTGGAAATTCATAGGAATGAATGAATAACTATCTTTTGAGGACAAGATTCAATAGATATGAAGCTAACAGTATCTCATGCTTTCTTAAAATCTTTCTTAACATGGTAATTACAACTATAATATATAATGATCATAAACTTCAAACTTGGGCATAGTATCAATCATAGTATGTAATTTCTTTTGTATTTTCTTGAAATACTTATTCTAGAAAAATTGTGTACTCTGTATTTTATACAGATTGATAATTTGCAAATGAAATGTCCTTGTGTTACATACTAGTTACTTTGTCATATGTTCCATAAGAAAATTTGGTCTGTTTCAGGCGATGAAGAATCAGATGTTCAGCTTTCTAGCTCAGTTACAAGGCTTTCGGCTGAAGGTAAATATTACACAGTCAACATACAATCTCTTTTAAAATTTAGAAACATATAATCTTGTTAAAAAAGAATCTTAATTGCTTTTTTAACAAGATCATTTCTGTTTCAGACATTGATTTATATGGATTCTGTCCTGAAAGAGATACTTTTTACACGGTAGTGTGTGAAACCTGCCATGCAATAGTCAAACCACAAGCTCTCATTCAACATATGGGTATGTCACTGTATAATTCTACTCTTTCTGTTCATACAGTACTGTTATATATAATTTTATTATCAATTAAAGATCATTTTACTTGCTTCAATGGGGCAATTGTAACTGTAAACGTAACTGTACCAGAACTATAAGTATTTCCTAGATAACTTGGCCTTTTCTTTCTAAGAAATATCTTTTTTATAAGTGTAATAAAGTCTCTAATATGTACATGATAATGAAGAACAATTACATTAATGTAATTACAAGTAACTACATTACTTACAAATATATAACACACATTTATATAGCTCAACTATTCTTTAACCAGGATATGTGCACACTGTAGAAATTACACTATATAATATTGTTGATATTCTGCCACAGAAAGTCGCCATCCTTCCGGCACGGTCAATTTTCCACCTCCCTCCACCCCGATTGTAAAAACTCCTCTGAAGACACCGTCGCCGCAGATCTCAAATAGCGGGAGCAATAAGAACAATCACACGAACGTGAAACGGAACACGAAGCAGCCGAACATCTCAACGAGCTTGTCGTCATCATCGATATCCATCTCGCCGTCACCTCGATCGCCTCTCGAGTCATTACCATCGACTGTGCCAACGTCGAACTCTGGGTCGGGGACTTTGATCACCTCGAGCCCTGTGAAAAGTCCAGGCACGGCGACCGGTCAGCCTCGTCGAAAGAGACTCAAAACCGACCGATCGTTGCTCAAAGACCGAGAGTACGACCCGGACCGACACTGTGGTGTGTGGAACGAGGAAACAGGCAAACCCTGCACCAGGTCGCTCACGTGCAAAGCGCACACGGTCTCGTTGCGGCGGACAGTCATCGGTCGGAGTAAAACCTTCGACAAACTGCTCGCGGAGCATCGTGCCTCGAAGGAGATCCCGAACAGGCCGACGAAAGTAACTGTGACCGGTACAGTGACCGTATCCTCTGGGACCTCGAACTTAAACCCCTTAACACCCACCACCCCCGTCCTGACCATCGAAACGGAAACACCCAGTTCGCCACCTGTTCTATCGCTGCCAGACACGTATCCACTGCCAAAGGTAAGAAGTCACCGTATCGTCATATCATTTCTTTTTGTATGTCTTCTTTTTTTTCTTTTTTTTTTTTTTTTTTTTTTTTTTTTTTTTTTTTTTTTTTTTTTTGATTCATTCCCTTCTGTGGTATATCCTTGGTACGAATGTACGGTGTGATGATCCTTCGTGCCATAACGTCCTGTTGTTTTGTTTCATCGTTACATATATAAATATATATATATTTTTTTTTTCTTTATGTATACGAGTTGGTAACTGTTGTATCGTGTTGTATCGTGTCGATTACGCATTGTAGATGTTTCTGGTGTTTCTGGAAGAAGGATCTAATAATTATCCGAGATGTATGAAGTAATTTTTGTTATCCTGGTTTGGTTGAATGGAAATGAAAGTTGTGTCTCGTTGGGCTGAAAAGAAAATTCGTTTCCCTGTTGAAAGGATGTTGAAAGAATTGTTATTTTTGGACATACGTATTTCAGGCGTCGGCGTAATCTTTGTCGCGTAATCGTTGTTGCAGTTTTGTTAGGAATATCTCGTGTATTTGTTGAATAGTTTAATGTTCCGAGGAGTTACAGCATACTAGATGTTTTTCTTTTCCTTTTTTTCTTGATAATACTTGTCGATAATATATATGATGGCTTACTCTTTTTTTTTTCTTCAATTTTGTTTTTTGTGAAGCAATAGCTGTGCATGTGATCTGATCGATATTTAATGTGTTATCCATACATTAAAACTTTCATTTCTTGGTATTCTTTGATAAATACTGCAAAATTAAGCGTGCAGTGGAGTAATTAGCCTCTTTTTTTATTTTATTCAGATTGACTTCTGAATCCTTTCATTTCAAATACTTCTGTCTGCATTCACACACTTTCGGAGCAAAATTAATCACGAATTGGAACGAGCATCTGCTGACGTTCAGAATTTTTAGAATAGTTGCAAATTTTCGGCCTTCGAGTAAACGAAAAATCAAGTCGCAGTCTCGATAAATCTCGAGCTTTCTTCGTTCAAAAATTCCGTAGCGTCTTTAAGAAATGTACGAATCTCCCTGGGATCGTTGCTGTGATCGATCAAGCTGTGTCGATCTGTTTAATTAAAAAAAGAACATCGTCAGAGACAAGAGTCTACCGAGTCAATCGCTTAGAAGTAGAGAACAAATCAATAGAATCAATAGAAATTAGATTCGAAAGACTAGCAGGCGATGCAACGACGTAGATATTCATACAGATTCTCACCGATTAAAATTCAATCGAGTGCCATCGAGTTTTAGAAGGCGTCAGGTGTCAGGTATCAATCGATACCCGAAGATCGTTCGTTTTCGTAGATCTCTTAAGACGCATTAGACGGAACGTAGCGAGGCTAGAAAAGAAAAGAAAAAAGAGAGAGAGAGAGAGAGAGAGAGAGAAAGAAAGAAAGAAAGAAAGAAAGAAAGAAAGAGACGAATCGAAGAAAGAGAATTAGTAATGTGGCTGACAAACATGGATCGATCGACGAGCCAGGCGAGTCAGCTGCGAACAGTAGCCCGCAAGAGTAGGGTGTCGGTTGATACCTGTTTTCTGTTTTTGTTATTGCAGGCTGTTGATTTGCTTTATCGGTGTCTGGCCCCGCATGGCTCCACTAAACCTGTAAGGCATGGTTTCTTTTGGGCACTTAAACGCCAACACCTCGTATGGGCCCTACGATTCTTATTGCGAGTCGCCAACGCTTCTCTTTTTTAGACCAAGCTCGAAGAGGACTTCGCCAACGAGGAGCTGAGGAGCCTGGAGTCGTCGCTAGTGAACTCGACCGGTTCGTCGCAGTCGAGCTCGATGATGGCGCCGATATCGGTGGTGTTGCCGTCGCTGTCGCCGTTGCCGGCTAATAACGAGGAATCGATGCCATCGGTCGCCACGCTGATACCGAGCACAGCATCCCCAGCTATACCGGTGCCAGCAACACTGCCAGCCACGTGCGTGCAACCGTCGTTGGTCACGACGGTCCTCGAGGCTGAAACACCGATGGACATCGATCCGGAGGCAGCAATGACCATCTACTCCCCTGTTTACAAGGATAAATCCAAGTTGCTGGTCGAGCTACCACGTTCGAACAATATCGCCCACTCTCCTATATCGTCTATGCCCAGCCTGCTCTTCGAGTCTATGGATCAGCTCGAACAATTGGAACAGCAACACGCGACGCAGATCAATGGAAAGAGACTGAATCACGCCGCGGCTCGCTCAAGTCCTGTTACGCAACGACAGCCGAAGAGGACCAAACACGACTACCATCAACAGGATCTGTCCACCACGGCGATACAGGTTGAGGCTACGACCACGTCCTCGCCTTATCCTCATTTCGGGGATGTATCTTGGTCGAACTGTCACCCGGAGCCACTGGCTGTTAGTCGGTGGCTTCGTATTTCGTCCAGCCGTAAGCAGTACAACTTTAATATTCACTGACATAAGACCCCACCCACTCCAGGCTGAGGACCGTGCGCCACCGGCGTTTGTCTACCTCTTCTTTTTTTCGAGATCCTTTTTTTCATGGTTGTCCTCGTCGCCGTCGTTGATGGTCTTGGTCTGAAGCCTGTCGAGAAGGGGGGCATGTCTTGATGTACGGTGAACTTCGATGTGATGAGCATGCGCACGGTGGAAAAGAGAAAAAAAAAAAAGAAAAAAAAAAAAGAAAGGAAAGGGAAAAAAAAATAGGGCACAAAAAATAGAAATAGAAAAAGAAATATTACCA